TTGCCCTTTTACGGAAAAGTGTTATGCCAACTTTTCCTCCGCACCACAAGTATATTTCATCACTGGATTATAAATAATGTCAGCTGATTCAATGATCTGTTGCAGGACTCATGCCCAGCTCTCACTGAAATGGAGAACGCGATGGTCAACTGGGTCGGGAGGGCACTAGGATTCCCAGAAACGTTTCTATTTCAGGTATCGCTTGAGAACTCCATAGTGCTTGAGCGTCGTGGCCTTGCGTCTTTTTCTACTCATTACTCTCTCACTGCTAGAGGCATAATACATACTGATCATGTCGCACCCGCCAGCGCGCAATATCAACAGAGCGTTTTCCCTTTACCATCTCATCATACGGGAATGCGAATGAGTGACACGCATACATTCGAGGCTTCGCGTGTACTCCGTGTGCTTTTCGATGTGGTGTATGGTGAATCTCACTTGAAGACACAACGCACGCTCAGCTACGAGGTGCGTCCTTGGCGTATGCGGCTCTCGAGGAAGATTGCAAAAAAAATATAGTTGTTCTCCAAGTTGTTCTCTAGTTGTTCTCCAATTCTTGCACTCGTCATCATCTGACTCAGACGTTGCAGCATGAACAACACCTTAAAGGCAGCGTCCGCGTTCAGTTGAGGTTTTCCTCTCCCTTCGTGGGAGGTACTCAGGTTCGCGGAGGCAACAACTATACCACTTTCGCGCGCAAAAATGAATGTTGAGGCCCACGATGCCGTCGTTCTTCATTGGCCCAACCTACAATCACTGGCACCGCCCTCCACTCATTCCTAATGGTTATCTGATGGTGCGGTTGTTTCGCTGCTGCTTCTCTCCACGTCGAGTGAGGTGATAAGGAAAAACAGCTGGCATCAACAAGTGAGAACTCGTGCGACCGCACCTTCTCATCGCCTTGAGCACGTACAATTAAGCAAGGGGTTCTATGTAGAGCCTTTCCTATGATTTCTTTCTGATTTTTCTTCACTGAGGGGTTACTTGCTACCTTGTTATAAGTATTTGAGCCGCATAACTCATCAAATTTGAATGCGGGCTCAGCCTTCAACTGTCATAAGCATCAAGAGTTTGAGTTTCATTCTTATTGGAAACGTAAAGTACAAGACTTGGCAAAGTGCTAGGAGCGCCGCGCAGACTCCCGATAGATTATAGATGGGATTGAATATGCTAGCGGCGCGCAACGTGCCTGCGCCGCAAGTGGCACTTCGAGCGGAGTATGGAGGAGTTAGCCTATCCCAGGTCTTCGACAGCTGGGGAACCGTAAGCCTCAAACATGCCAAGGACGCACCTCGTAGCTGAGCGTACGTTGTGTCTTCGAGGCGGAAATAGCAGAGGTGCTCTTAATTTATTTCCAGGACTCCCCACCTGCCAGTCAAGGAGGAGGAACAGTAACAGAGTCGGGATCAGACGCTATCCTGTGCGCAGTTCTAGCGGCTAGGCAATGGAAAATTAATCAGGTACGGGGCACTCTAAGTTATAGAACGTTAAAAGTTCTATTTCAAACGAGAACTGCGGTTAGGTCATCGAAGAAGAGCAGCGTAGGGGAGGATCGAAGTTCGACACCATCCACGACATCGGAAAACGACTGGTGGTCTACAGCAGTAAAGACGTATGTCTGCCTTCTTTGTCTTCTACAGCAACACTCTACAGGGGCTTGCCTTGTTCAGGCTCATTCCTGCATTGAAAAAGCCTGCAAACTTGCTATGCTGAGGTGCCGGCCGATCCAACCCCTGGAGGAAAATCAGTGGGGAGTCACCGGCGAGCAAATCGAACAGGAGATTAAAAAGGTTAACTGTAACCTCCAACACGATCTTCCGCTTGTGTGTTTGAGAAGAACGTATTTCAGGATTTGGAGAAAGGATTGATTCCCTGCTTTATCAACTGCACACTTGGAACGTCATCGACGGCCTCTTGTGACAAACTGACGTCAATCTGTCCTGTTGCTAAAAAGTACTTGTCTTCACTTTGATTGTTATACTTCAAGTTATATAAAATGAGCAGAGTTGCATAGTTCAACTACACAAGCGGCATGTTTCCCTAGTTGAGGATAGAAAAGAGGATCAGTGGCAGTGACCACATTCACTGGGATGGTGAAACAGGTCCCTCCCAATCAATGCTGATGAATGGATAAGTTAGGCAGCCAAGTGATCCAATGAGTTCCCGCCACCAGTCCGCCTATCACAAAGTACGTGCATGAAGGATGAGCGGAAACGCTCCAATTCGTGGCAAAGGAACATGCTTTCTACACTGCCCTTGCGCTGCGATGTCTTTCACTTTCTAGCCACTGGTGGGTTGGGGGTGAGAGGTGATTTCTCCATATTTGCCTTTTCATAGGTATGTGTCGCGGGCCCGCCACCCTTGTGTAAGTGCCTATTATTAGTGTTTTGTCACCAAGACGTCCTGTAAAATGAACATGCAGTGCATATCTGAGGGCAGGGCAGGGGGTCCCGGTAATCAACGCGGTACTGGCGGTATTCCAAACAAGATGGAAGACCTGGTCAGTTCTGAGATCCGTCTCATCTCGTGAAAGAATTACAAAGGAACGGATGAATGAAATCTAATTGTCCAACAGTTACTTCTACGAATGTACTGACCAAAGTTTCATATTACTAGTTCAGGTACGACACATGGCTCCATGTTGACGCAGCCTACGCTGGAAGCACTTTCATTGAAGCAAAATACCGTGAAGTGGCGTTAGTTATAAATTATTTTTCCACAATATACAGGGAGTTCCAAGGCGCGGCCATGGTGTGGGTGCGGTGCGATGTAACGCAGAGCGTGCATATCGCCTACGTACAAGTGTATCCACTGCTTTAAAAAGGACCATTGCGCACATAGAATCGATATCATTTTTCACCTGCGCACTGATGTGATGGTACATTCTAGCTCGCTCGGATGAAGGGGTGTGTAGGCAGTATGAGTGCGCCACGGCGCCAAACCTGTTCTCTGCCAGTTGTTGAAGCGGGTATGCGACAACAGTTGGTAGAAAACGAGTGATACGAACGATATGATACAGTCTTGTCACTTGCTCGCTTCAACAACTGGTAGAGAACGGGTTTGGCACCGCGCCAAACTCGTCCCGCCTAGCCCCTTGGTCCGCTTTGAATTTGATTGTAGCACATTCACAGTTGAAGGATATCTCACGATTACTTGGTGATAATCCCTTGTAGTTGTGCAGGGCCAACAAGTGACTCCTTACTTATGAGCGCTTGTGAATGAAAACAGCAGCTTGCGATGGTTCTTGTGCCCACGCTTCCTGCAAGACATCATTTGCGCAACTGTTGCTGCTTGTCTAGGCAATCATCGAAAGAGTGCTCAAATTATTGGGTTGCCCATAAGTAATGGCGTTTTTTTCTCGCACAATTTTTTGCATGGAAAGTGAAAATCGTTCCCAATGTGTTCTATACTGCTTGATAGATAAATTTCATGTTCTATAAGATGGTAGAATTGCCTCCCCACTATTTCTTTACTTCTGTCGATTTTTATTTCATTGAAATCGAGTGCCGGGTCGACACAAAGTGAGTTTTCGACAACAACTTTTTGCACTTTATCTCGGCTCTCAAATTACAGAAGAAGCTCAAAACTTGTGGTATACATGATCCAAGGAAAGATGCTTCTTATGACTACTTGAAGTTGGTTCAAGCACCTTTAAACCTGCATTGCATGGGGGCCTCTTGTGGAGCGACTGCCTGCAGTTCCTGCTAACTTTCGAACGTCTAACATCGGCTGAGGTTAATAAGCAAGCATTCCATTCTAACGATCTAGCGTTCTAACGATTCCATAGTCTTTGCAGAAAAATTCTTATTCCCAGAGTAAAAGGTCATCGAGATCTGAAATTCTATCCCAATCAACTTAAACCGTTGCTGACGTTCGCTAAGAAAACGCTCATATTATTTCCGGCAACTGGAGCCGTGTAGCAGTTTTAGCATCCATACTTATAATAACGGCAACGGTATGTCTGTATGTTTGTCTGCTCTTAGTCTGTTGTTTGGTCTGTCTGTCTGTCTGTCTGTCATGGTCTGTCCTGTCTGTCTGCGTTGGTCTGTTCTTTTCGGAAATTCGTCGAATTCATTCAAAGAGCAGTTTGCAGGGGCGGTTGTCCAAGGGTGGCGTTGCGTGATAGTGTATGCGGTCAAGATGTATCGTGAAACACACTCATAAACTAAAGCTAGGCTCCGCCCACTGTGGGCGGGGCGTGCGCACAGTTGTGAGCTACAAATTTCAAAAATTCGTAGTTTGGTTCCAAAAGAGCCCCAAGAGCGGAAAAAGTGGCAAACGATAGGCAATCGGTTGGCGGACGAAATGAGTGAGACAAACCCACTTTGGGCGGGGCGTTCTATAGGTGGGCGGTGCTTGCTACGAAACTTCAAAAGTTCGCACTTCGGTTCCAAAAGAGCCCAGAGAGTGGAAAAAGTCCCAAACGATAGGCAATCGGTTGGCGCTGGGAATGAGTGAGACAAACTTCATTTTCGGGCGGGTGCTTCATAGTGTGGGCGTGTGCTTGGCTACGAATAACTTTCAAGAATTCGTAATTCGATTTCAAAAGAATGCTCGTGAGGGTGGGAGAAGTGGAAATGACGGCATTCAGTTGGCGGGACGAAATCAATTTGTGAGCACAGCCCTGACGGGCAGGGCTCGCTTTCGCCGAAGTAGAACGTCTCCTGCCGATGGCCAAAAATCCTCAAAACGTCTTACGAAAAACCCACAAAAACTGCGGAGTAAAGATTGAAACGTTGACTGAATATGGCGTTGGCAGATGAAGTTTATAGGGATAAAGCCTAGACAGTGTACAAATGGTTTGCACCGTCGGCGATACTTAATTTCTGCGATTCTCATGCATAATTCTCCGATCCCTTCATCGCCTAAATAATGGTTGGAGATAACAACTTGCGGGGAAAAAGGAGAGGCTACCGAGAGGTGCCAGAATCTTTGCACAGAACAGTATAGGGCTCAATGCTTGACTTCACCTTAAGTGTCGATATTCTGAGTAATTAAGAAAAACACCATTATTTATGGCGCGACATGTAATGACATTGATTCTTTCGGGGCAGAAATGAGTACTAGGAAAAAATATTATTATAGCGAGGACGAGGCGAACCTTGCAAGGTTTCACAAAGTTATGGCTTAGCTTCCAATTTCTTTGACAGTATTTGTACTTGACTGCCACGTGCTGAAGGCTATCAATAATCGTGACGGTGCTCCACATTTTTCCCGCGACCAAGCGTCATTGGATAAGTGGCTTCTTCAGTTATGAACCAGTAGCTGATAAGTGATTCCCCATGAAGGAAATAGCAAAGAGAAACGCTAAGAAGACCATAAACGAAATCCTGACAGCCAGAGCTCCTTGATACGAGTTTTTCGTGACTCCCTGGCATTAAGACGTCCTTGTGTCTCTGTACAACTCCTGGTTCAAAAATCATTCTCATACATAAAAAAAAAACCAGTACTGATGCCTCCTGCTGAGAGAATAAGGTAAAAATCAACACTGAGCGAAAATTCGCCACAAGGTCACGAAAACAGGACATATGGTAAGCCGATGTTCCTCGAGCACTCGCACAACAGTTTGCATCGCTTGGTGATGAACATCCGTTTTCCTTTTGACAGCATGTGATTTCTGTTGCGCCTAAATGTGCTCTATGAGGAACATTTTATAAAGCTGAGCAGAATCATTTGTGAGCACGAGCGCGGTCGGTAAAATGAATACGCAATTCGGATTTATCCCCATCGTCCCAATCAATACAAGCAACTGAGGCGCCAACGTCAGAGATGAAGAGGACGTCTCGTTGGGTGCACGGCCCACTGAGCGGGTGTCAGAACTAGGACTTCCGACGGCTGTAGCACGCTCCTCACTCGTTGTGGAGTCGCGAAAGTGAGACAATCCCTCGGACTGTGGGCTGGACTACTTGCACACGAACAGTTGTGAAAGAATGCGCGTTAGTCTCGAAACAACACCGCGATTCGGTGGTATGTTCTTTTTTCGTGTGCAAGAAATCAATGCAAGCTGCAGTGGGCAGGGACTGCCTTACCTTTTGGATTGTTTCGTGGAGAGGGCCGCTACGAAGCCGCCGAATTTTTAGTTCTAACACCCTCAGTTGGACCGCTCACCCAACAAATGCCCTCTCCATGCCTAGCGCAGGGGCGCTAAGTTGTTGGTTGTTTGGAAGCGACGAGGATGAATCCGAATTGTGTCCATTCTCACTGACCATTGTCCATTTTCGCGGACCGCGCTTATGCTCACAAGTAAGACTGCTCTCCTTTATTACATGCTTCTTCATTAAGAGCACATACAGGCCACAGCAATCCATCTCAGTAGGTAAGACGTGTTCAGATCACCAGTGATGCAATTGATTGGTGCAAAAGCTCGACGTGCTTGCACTGTGATCCTAGTCTCGTGAGATCCTAAAATTTCAACTTACTTCCTGTTGAAATTGTCGCTCCATTGTTTTTGTTGTCTTTCGTTTCCTTTTCTTTGCATTGGGTGGCATTCACTGAGGGATGCGAAAAGCAGTTTCTGATCCAGGTGTTGCACAAAGATCACAGGGCGTTGCCAGCAAGTCTCGCACAACTCGCACAATGAGGCTATGTGACTGTCAGGGAGCGATTGGTGTTCTTGGAGACTTTTTGCTTTTTTTTCTTCTGCGGGAATCACTTATCAGCTACTGGTTCATAACTGAACAGCCTTTAGGCATCATACTTGCTGGTATCTCGAAGTGAGTAGAGCTTTGAAGTTGGACGAGAATGTGTTCAGGGAAGGGATAGAGAATGCTCATACCATCAACGTAAACTTGAGTAAATTCCTTTTGCACTCTGCAACACTATCTATCATTTGGACAAGAGAGCAGAAGATTTATAAAGATGCTTTCTCCATCACTCCAATGTACCTCAAGCCTTCACATGGTATGTGATACTCAGCTTCACGTAGCGTTAGCTTTACGATGGTGATCACTTCATCTGCAAATGACTGTATTTCAGTTTTGATGTCATTGTATTGCAGCAAACTCCACGGATCTGAGAGATTGGGGCCTTCACTTGAGCCGCCGTTTTAAAGCTCTCAAAGTTTGGTTCATTATGCGTCTCTGTGGTGTCGAAGGTCTTAGACGTCATGTGAATAAGGTCTGCACAACATATTGGGTCCATATCACTGCGCCTATCAATGCTAGGGAAACCACTTGTTATTCAGATATGTGATATGGCCAGTTACTTTGAATCATTAGTGGATCAACATCCAAATTTACAAATTTTCACGACGAGAAACTTTGGTTTATTCACCTTCCAATACAGTGTAGGTATTACGTCATCAAAGAACCAGCTTCCTTTAGTTGACTTTTAGGACGTGCCACGCATTTTACAGTCCTCATCATTGCGGACCGGTGGGGCGTGTCAGCCAGGAGTGCGCACACTGTTGAAGCCGTTCTCAGCCTTTTTGTTGCAACGCGTATGCGACAAAAAGTGGTAGAAAACGAGTAATACGAATAATACAGTAATGCACTTGCCCGCTTCAAAAACTGGTGTGCAGAACGACTTTGCCAAACCGCACCAAACGCAGCCGCACTGCCACGCCCCACCGATCCGCAATGATGAGGACTGTACTTTTATTGAATCGTAGTGGCGCTCCGAATGAGATTTGGTGCATACAATGAATTGCCTAAGCTAGTAGCTGTAAAAGCCATATTATAGTTATGCCAGATATGCCTGATCTCTGTTAGACGACTCATGAAAATATAAACGGTCACTCACTGCATTCTGGTCCTTATCGTTAGCGGGAGGGGTGGGCCCGCAGCTGTAGTCGTGCCATTTTCTCACTCACAATCGCAGGGGACAGGTCTGGAAGGTAGCGATACCTCGGTTCCAACTACATACTACGCCTCGCGCGCCTCACGACCAGCTAGACGCCTAACCTTAGCCAAACACGCTATTTGTCTGCGCTCTCTTGCTTCTAGTTGTTTTCAGCTGCTGTGTTCCTTGACATCGACGCTGAGGATAGCGAGTATGGACGGCATTCGGACCACTTCCCCACAGTCCCGTTCCTGTGCACTTCTGAGCGAAGAATGTGACACGCTACTGCAGCTACGAACCCAGTTTGACCTTAACAGATATGACACAGATCTGAGATTGCCATATGAAAAAAACTGAAATCCAAACAGCCACGTAACATATCTGCAAGTATTTCCGGAATGCGCCGCTACGAATCAAAGGGACATTTTACCTTTGTTTGCATTTTGAAGCACTTCTGATAGGCATTTAGTCACTCTGAAGTTTTGAAATTCCTGCAGTAGCCTCAGAGCAACTCAAGTCACCATCGAGGGTGGTATATCTAGCAGCTGTGACACATCGGTTGCGTTTATACTTTGCGGCAGCGTACGCTAGCGTTTCCAGCGTTCGCCAGCGGCAGTGGCAAGGAAAGGATAGATATCGATCTAGCGTCACCAGCGTAGAATACGCTAGCGTTACGCTGGCGTACGCTAGCGTAGCGAGGGCAAGGAAAGCATAGGTATCGATCTAGCGTTTTCAGCGTTTCACCAGCGTTTCACTAGCGTTTGCAGCGGCGGGAGTAGAGACTATGGGAGAGTAGGAGAGTAGAAAACACATCGATTATGCGTTGTGAAATTGCGGCGTGTGTAGCCGCACCGCATTAGTAGGCAATACCGTACTCTAAAATGGTTAGATTGCATAAATATGTGGTTTAGCTGCTGGAACAGAATGTTTTTTCCATTGTCGCACCGGAATTGAATTGAACTATGAAAACGCTGGCTTTTGCAGGTATCCATCTCCTTTTTTAGGGCTGATCTGTTGGAGACTTGATCTATTTTTTGGGAACTTTTTACAAATTCGGGCACTACTTGAACCATTCCTACTCCAAGAACTCAAAAAAAATTTCGCTGAAACTTTGTCTATAGATGTTATTCGATGTCCTGATCACGAATATGACATTCATTTCTGGCGCTGGCGCCATTTGGCGCCAATAGGCGCCAACATGGCGCCAACACTTTTCTCGCCAAATTTGATGCAAACTTGTATGTATACGGGGGTTAATTGACATCCTGATCACGAATATGGCATTTATTTTGACGCTGGGGCCATTTGACGCCACTAAGCGCAATTGGCGCCACACCTTTTCTTCCCAAAATCGATAAAAACTTGCGTAGTAGGGTTGTTTGATGCCCTGATCACGAGTATGGCATTTATTTCTCCATACCAGCGCCATTTAGCGTTCTGCTGAGGCTGAACCTGGGAAAAGAGTGATTCCCTTCAGGCCAGGCTCAGTCCTAGCAAAGCGCAGATGACCATAGTGTCCTACGTTAGCGCCGGCGCCAAGAATAAATGTCATCCGTGAACAGGATGTCAAAACCCCCGTACACAAGTTTTCATCGATTTTGGTGATTTAGGGTGTTTTGGCGCCGGCGCCAGGCGGTCTTGGCCCAAGCGGATGTGATATTCATGTTCAGGAGGTCGAAGTACCCTAAAGACAAATTTCCAGCCAAATCTGCCTTTGTAGAAAAAATTGGGTAAAAAAACCGGTCCGGATTTGGCCTCGGCAGGCTGCGGTGGAATGGTTTTCAGTAGTGCCGTACATTCAATAACGAGTTTCTGCTCGAACATACGGCCAACAGATACCATTTATGAAAAAATCCTAGGTTGGTCCCACGCTATGCGTGATCATGCATTGAATGATCGCGTTTCCTGTTTCTGCCATTTATCGCGATGTGCAATTCAACCATTGCATTATGCAATTCAACCAATTCAGTGTACGGTGTTAGCACTGCGGTGCGGCTACACACGCCGCAATTTCACAGTTCAGCACGCCCAATGGGACGCTACGCTGCAAATATACGCAGGGCGCAAATACGACCTCCCCCTTGTTGGGGGAATCCCCGTTGTTGGGGATTCCACAACAAGGGGGGAGGGTCGTATTTGCCTGTTGGGAGAGAAGGAGGGTCCTCTCTCCCAACAGCCAAATACGTAATTAGCCCTCACTCAGTAACGAGCAGCGCAAAGGTGTCAGTATGCTGGTCCTGTATAGCGAAACTTGCTTTGTAGAGAACCCGGATATGTAAAAAATAGTACAAAACTTTCTTTGATAAACTAATCCGAAATAACTGGAAATATTAATAAGTCGACATCATCTCGTAAGTAGGTATATGGCTAAACAGTACAACTCATACTCTGGTTCGCTGCGGATGATGGGGCGTGTCCGCGATCGCGCTTGGCGCTGAGCCAACCTGTTTTTTTCGACAAACGACAGGACTACCATATCGTTCGTATCAGACGTTTTCCAGCAGTTGGTCTCCTTTATCGAGTCAGCAATTGGCGGAGCACAGATCTGGCGGCGTCGGACACGGACACGCCCCATCATCCGCAACGGACAACACTGTAAACAAGTGCGTAGGTTGGCCATGGAACTCCCTGAACCCTGTAAACACATCTGCTCGTGTAGACAGGCATTATGTGCACCATCCCACTACCTCTGCGTGGGAGCCTAAGCATGGCGCATCCACAAATGAAGCTAATGGGCGCTAAAACACTACTGCTTGCTCCTATTCCACGAAGGGATGCATTCTAGATCCTGGATATCCGAATACGCCCACTTGAAGCGGTACGCAGAAAACGGATTTTTCGAGCAGTTCGGAGTGTTCTTCAAAAATCCCCAACGCAATTATCTCATGAATCCCGGAAACTTCAGAAACAGTTTAAGTAGTTTTTGGAAAGAGGAAATCTTCTAGTATTCGATACT